CCTCCTCCTCCTCCTCCTCCTCCTCCTCCTCCTCCTCCTCCTCCTCCTCCTCCTCCTCCTCCTCCTCCTCCTCCTCCTCCTCCTCCTCCCTCCTCCCTCCCTCCCTCCCTCCCTCCCTCCCTCCTCCCTCCTCCCTCCTCCTCCTCCTCCTCCTCCTCCTCCTCCTCCTCCTCCTCCTCCTCCTCCTCCCTCCTCCTCCTCCTCCTCCTCCTCTCCCTCCTCCTCTCCCTCCTCCTCTCCCTCCTCTCCTCTCCCACGTCCTTCCCTCCCCTCCTCCTCCCCTCCCTCCTCCCCTCCCCTCCTCATCTCTCATATGCATCATTGCTTCTTATGCATGCGATCTCTCATCTCGTGAAAATGATCGTGCAATCGACGTCTGATGACATCTCTACAGCCCGTACGTTCCCCCGGACAATGCCATTGTCACTCCTCAAAGCTCCGTTCACTTTGGGCAGGAGGTGCTGGTGGAGTGCGAGCAAGGGTTTTACGCGGAGAAGGAGAGCAGACCGCAATGTCTCGGTGATGTTGGGATAGTCCAGATAAATCACAGGTGAGGCGAATGCTTGTACCCTCCTACTCTACTCCTCCTCCACCACCACCACCCTCCTCCTCCTCCCCTTCCTCCTCCTCTCCTCCTCCTCCTCCTCTACTCCTCCTCCTCCTCTACTCCTCCTCCTCCTCTACTCCTCCTCCTCTACTCCTCCTCCATTCTTCCCACTTCGCAGAGGTTCATAGCTGTTTGTATTCGAAAGTAGCTCTCTCGTCCTCTTCCTATCCCTTTGATCTCCTGCTCTTCTAGGTACACTCCTGGTCTCCAATCCTGCCTGGCTTGTCCGGCGGATTCTAGCTCCAGGAGAGGAAGCGTCAGACTTGCTTCTTGCTCGTGCAACGGAGGATACTTCAACAATCCTTCCTTCTCCCCCTCCTCCTTCTCCTCTTCCTCCCTCAACTCTTCCAACGTCACCTCGAACTCTTCCTCCCCCCTCTTCGCCTCCTCCAACTCCACGAGCTTCTGTCTCCTCTGCCCTCCAGGCAAGTACCGCGAGCCCTTCACCGTCGAGGTATGCCTCCTCTGTCCTCCTGGCACCTTCCAGCCCCTCCCGGGGGCTCCCAACGTGACCTCGTGCCTTGCTTGTCCGCCTGGCTCGACGTCTGCAGCAGGAGCTTCTCTTCTTGGCAGCTGCACCTGCGCCCCCGGTTACGCGGGCCGCTCGCCGTTCAACTGCTCCTCCTGCGGCTTCGGAAATTTCTCGAGCAGCGAGGGGGCTGAACGCTGCGAGCTCTGCCCTGCTGGCTCCTTCTCTGACGAGCTCTCCGCCACGACCTGCCACGATTGTCCACCAGGAACTTTCAGCTCCTCCTCCTCCTCCTCCTCCTGTTCCTCCTGCCCCCCTGCCTCCTTCTCCTCCGCGGGTGCCTCCCACCCCTCGGACTGCTTCTGCCTCGCAGGGTTTGAGGTGGACGGGAGCGGCGCGTGCGTCCCCTGCCGCAACGGGACGTTCAAGGAGGTGGAAGGGAACAGCAACTGCTCTCAGTGCCCGGAGAACTCGACGACGACGAGGACGGGAAGCACGAGCATCGCTCAGTGCGTCTGCCGTGCCGGCAACGAGGGAAGGGATGGGAACCCCTGCTCTCCTTGCCCTGCTGGATCCTACAAGAGCAAGGTGGGCGACGCTCCCTGCCTTCCCTGCCCTCCCTCCTCCTTCTCAGCTGCAGGTAGCGCCGTGTGCTCTCCATGCCCGGTCAACTCTACTCCCGCCGTGGGGCAGGCAGCGTGTGTCTGTGTTGCCGGGTACGAACCGTCACCCCCGCTCGTCTCCTGCTCGATGTGCCCTGAGGGGAAGTACAAGCCGACGGCAGGGAACTTGCCTTGCTTGTCCTGCCAGGCAAACTCCACGTCGCCGGCGGGGAGCCGAGCTTCCTTCAACTGCAGCTGCTTCCCTGGCTTCACGCGGGAGCTGGTGGTGCCCTGGTCGACCTGCGGAGGAGGATGCGCCTGTTTCCCTTCCATCGGCCAGCAGGAGGGGACTATCAGCGACGGGCCGGGGGACTACCCGGTCAGGACCGAGTGCTGGTGGATGATAGGAGGACGCAACATTCACTTGGTGCTCAAGGAGGTGGACGTGGAGCGCGGCTTCGACTTCCTCCGGATCTCCTCCTGTCTCGATCCCTCCTGCAACGCCTCCCTGCCCCTCGCCTCCTTCACTGGCAGCGACGGAGTCAACGAGACCTTCTTCCTTCCAGCTGGAGCCTTCAGAGTTTCTCTCCTCTCAGACTTCGGCATCTCGGGTACTTATCTCCGCGCCTACTTGCCCCTTCCCCCCTTGCTCTGCCCTCTTCCTCCCCACTCCTCCTCCCGGCTTTCCTCCCTGCTCGTTCTCCTTCACCTCTATTTCTCTCTCCTCGCTCTCTCCTACCGTTGGCCTTTCTTTCCCATCCCCCATCTTTCCCATCTTTCGCTCCTCACAAGCTAACTGCTTCTCTCCAGCCGCAGGCTTTGTCGCAGCGTGGCGGACGGACCCGGAAGGGTACTACTGCAATCCTCCTTGAGCGGGAGAGGATATGAAGGAAGAAGAGGAGGGTATGAAGGGACCTCGAAATCTTTGCATACAACAGCAACTTGGACTCTCTTCCCACATACCTCGATGTATCTCTATCTCTATTTCTATCTCTATCTCTATCTCTATCTCTATCTCTGTCTCTACCTCTGTCTCTACCTCTGTCTCTGTCTCTCACTCTCCTGTCCATTCGGCTATCTGGTCCGCCAACTTGTCGGCTATCTGGTTGCCACAGATGGGAAACTTGCGGAAGAGGGTGATGAAGGCCTGGAAGGAGTCAGACGAGCTCGTGGCTGGCTTGACGCGCGTCAACATACCGGCTCGTCGTCTCCGTCCTCTTCCTCCACTTCGATGTTTCTGATCAGCCTCGGTCAGCGGAGGAGCAACAAGACGCCTGTCTCGGGTACCTCCTCCCCTTGGGTACGATTTCTTCCTCCTCCTTCTTCGACACGGGTTGTATCCTCGTCACGGTCTTCTGCAGGACCTCGAGCGAGTTCTGCGACACCTGCGGCAAGAGGTGAGGGCGCGTGCTCTCGCTCTGCTCCTGCTCTACCTGCACGAGCTCGGCCTGCGACGGGTTCATCTCGAACTGCGGGAGAGCATACTACAAGCTCGACCATCAGCGGGCACGAGGAGGCGCTTAGAGCCTCACGAGATGCTTCTTGGGATCCGCGCAGAACTCGCAGAAGATTTTGCCGGAGTAGAGGCAGTAGATGGCCTTGGGGGGCTGAAACATTTGAGGATCAGAAGGGGGTTCGGAGAGCAGGAGGCAGGAGGGTCAGAGAGCAGGAGGGTCAGAGAGCAGGAGGGTCAGAGAGCAGGAGGGTCAGAGAGCAGGAGGGTCAGAGAGCAGGAGGGTCAGAGAGCAGGAGGGTCAGAGAGCAGGAGGGTCAGAGAGTAGGAGGGTCAGAGTAGCGCTATCACCTTGACGACATCGAAGCGAACGTCGCAGAAGTAGTCCTTGGGCGCGTCCTCGTCCTCGTCCGGCGTGATCCCATCCCGGTTGACTCTGTAGCAAAGAAGATCAGCGATCACTCCTTGCTCTCTCCTGCTACTTTCCTCCCGCCCTGTTCCTGCCTTCCTCTTCCTCTTCCTCCCTCCCTCCCTCCCTCCCTCTCTTTTCTCTCCGTCTTCTCTGTCTCCTTTTCAAGCACTTCCCCTCCTCACCTCCCGTTGCACTGCCGGCAGAGCTCCATGGGCTCTACGAATCGGTTTCCTCTAACTAGCGTGAGAGCGTTGCGACCGGGTAGGTCGGCTGGGTTCATGTCCTGCCGGAGGGTCAGAGGGGAGCTGGAGTCTTCCTAGGCTCCGACACCTTGTTACGCCCCAACCTCTTCTTGATCCACTCGTCAGCAGCATGGAGCACGGCGTCGCCTTTGATGTTGATCTGAGCCATCGCCTCCTGTGCCGTCATCGACCCTCTCAATCAGCTCGCCCTCGACCAAGCGACATCTCACACCTTCATTCCCTGGTATTTCTTGTCGTAAATCTCCCAGATTCCTTTCCACCCCTTCAACAAAAGTCAAAGAGACTCGGAGAATGTCAAGACATGTACAACTCACGCTTCGAAAGTTGTTTTTCTCTTGAGATTGCTTTCGGGCATTTCTTGGCACAAAGGCCTCGGAGCCATCAGGAAACAGAGTGGTCAAGGCATTCTGGTCGGGGCATTGCCAATTGCTGGCAAGCAGGTGCGTCAGCTCGGTCGGCATTTAAACTCGCGTTACCCTCTCTTTTCTGGCGGCTCGTTGGCATAAATTTCTTTGCATGCTTGAAGGGCTTTTCGCTTCTCTGCACACTTTGAAAGTTTGAATGTCTGAGAGAGGTCGATTAGTTTCCGTTCAATACCTTTGAGCAAACAGGTTTGGAAAAATGCGAATCCTCGACTTCAAGTCTTAATGCCTAGAAGCACGGTAAATCATCAACGAGGTTACTATGAAATCCCACCTTGATCTTGTCTTCGAATTTCTTCTGCAGCGCTTTTTCCTTTTCTTTCTTGCTCTTTTGCTCCAACGTCATGTTCCCTTCGTCGATTTCATCTTCATTCTGCTTTCCAAGTCACAAGTTCATTGCATGTACTTGCAGCTCAAAGGCACATGATCCTCTTCTTCGTCTTGCTCCTTCTTGAGTCTCATACGAGCGATGTTGTGCGTGATCGACTAGAAAACCCCTCAGAAGGCTTGCCCCCTTCACCTTCACCTTCGCCTTCGCACCTTCACTGCCTGGTCGATTCTATCGGGGATGTTGACAGCTCTCAAGACTCCATCCAGCCAGTGCTCATCTGAAAGCGGAATAAGTTTGACAAGACTAAGATGGTGGCTGTGAACCTTCGCGCATGAGGATATCTGTGATGTACTCTCTTCCAATTTCATACCTGACCATCACTCAACATGGAAAGGCAAAGGCACAACCGTTGAAGTCACTCACCCGAATTCCTCCATCCTTGCTTGGTAATTTGTCACTTCTTTGGAGAATGCCTTTCCGCAGTGGTAGCAAATCACTTTTCCTCCTCCAGGAAGCCAATCTTCCGACATCATCACGCAACAGACGAAGGGTTCTACTTTCAACCTGCTTTGAGCTCTTCACCCGTCTCATTGCACCTGTTCTGCTTGTAGCCAAAGGCTGACAGACAGGGATTAGGACTCTGCAGAGCGTAGGGAGCGCTGGTATTTTCCCTCACCTTCGATCTCGTGCAGCATGTGTTGGACTTGCCAACTTTCGTCGTCTGTTATCAGCAGGTCCAGAACAAAAGCAACAGCTCCGCCTTCCGCAAGCTCAGCTCAACACAAACCCCCTCCACCCCTACCAGCATCATATTTTCCGTAAAGGAAAAGTTTCTTGTTGCCGTTCTGGAAATCGTGTCAAGATGATCTTCGACAACACGTGACAAGGTTGGAATCAATCATCTCCATACCCTTCCTTCGACAATGTCTGAAACTTTGAAAGCATTTTGCTTTCCAAAGCACCTTGTGGACCAAGTTACAATCTCGGGGAGACAATCAGAAGGAAATCAGGTGGGATACTTTTTAGATGGCGTGAAAGTTGATACGCATGAGGAGCCAGGAGGAAACCAGACATTCTCGTACTTGGGATCATCTTGTTCCTGCTCTCTATATCAATTGGTTCCTTGACTATGAAACATTCACCTCTTCTGTAGGATTCACTTTCTTCAACCCGAATCTGAACCACACTTTGGACACAAACCCGAGCTCAACCTTGTTTTGAGGTTAGTGCAAGCATGTTCAAACTGCTGTGTAAGTCTTATGGATACCTGTCTACGTGAAGAATGTAAGTAGATCGATATTGTCTCAGGTTCTTCCGTCCTGTAGCCACTTGGAAACAAATCTAGATACCACTCTCCATCGCATGTGAACTCAGCGCTGCAACAACGTCAGCTTGGTCGTTCGCACAGGGCACTTCCATGACACCTCGAAAGTTTTTTGTTTGGACCAATTTTGGCGACCACGCGCTTCAGATCATGGATGACCCAATTCACTCTCTACAAGGTGGTCTGAACAAACAAGGCGAGAGAAGGATATAAGGCTGGTACCTGTCTCCCTGACAGAGTGAGCTCCGGTTCAAGTTGAGGCTCCTCCAGTCTGACAATCACTTCACCGATCGACCATGCGACAGTCGTACTCAAGTTCACCGCAAGCCCGAGGCAGCAAATATGATTATTTCCAACGTGATATGACCATCCTGAACTCTCTCTCGATTTTTCCCATACTCTAACATGTATCCCTGACGCCAAGCATTCATTTCATTTCTCCTTGATCATCATTGTAAGCTTTACCTCTCTCCAGTTGTAGAGTTTTCCTATGTCGAATAATTTTTCAAAACCTGCACTTTCTGGTTCAGAGCTGCTCAAGTAGATCAAAAGAGTCACACCCCAGCTTGGCTCTCTGTTCGTGAACAGCTGGGACAGAGATCTTTCTATGCAAGGAGGAAGCACAACACCGTTGGCATCTGCTTGTCCTGTACGTTGTATAAGTGAATCTGACAAGGTCTTGAACATCACGCACCCATCTTGGAAGATGTCGCACTGTTCTTGGAAAAACTTCTTTTGCCTTCACTCCGTTGGCTCTGACAAATCAAATCAAATCAAATCAAGGCTGCTTGCACATGCGCCTACCAGTGCCCGTGAACTTACTCTAGACTTTGTACCACCCGGTTTTGTGGAGGCTTCGGTTGCAAGAGACGCAGCACTGGATGCAATACTCGCATCGTCATCTTCATCCTCCCCTTCTTCCGCATCTTTGACAACGACAAGTTAAATGCAATCGAAACTGATGGAGTCTTACCGGCTTGTCCTGCATTCTTCCCTTTTGCATCTTCATCAAACTGAGGAATAGGTTGCATCTTCAACTTTGTTTGCGCTGGAGTCAGAGAAAGATTAAGGTTCAGATGAAGTTTTCACACCTCCACAGAGGCAAAACTTTGGCTGGTGATCCTGTCTGGATTTTCTGGATCGCCTTGATCTCTTTCGCACTGCATTCACTCACACCATCAGGTCAAACGTGCTGACTTCGGAAGATCACCTCGTCGTTCATGATGTACAGAGAAGCATAATCCGGGTCCTGCGAGCTCTTCAGCGACATCACTCTCAAATCGACAACAATCACCGTGAATCCTTTAGGAAAATACACAACCTTCCAGGGGGTTCCACCAGCCATGATCGGCTTGCTGACAATGCTTCCACCAAAACTGATTGTCCCATTCAAAGACAAGACAGACAACGAACGCTTTTGTACCTGATAGACTTCACCCTTCCGAATTTGATAGTGAAAGAAGTAAAATCTCCCTGAGCTTTGACATTCTCAATCTGAATACCCAGTGAGCGACTCCTTCAATATCAATCATGCAGGCAGTTCACCGAATGCCAAGGTTTATTGGAGAAAAACATGGCCCGGCGGAGAAATCTGGGATTCCTTTGAAAGTTGTCACTGTTGGAATATTGCCAGGACGGGGACTTGACAATCAGGAGCAGATAGACATTGAGATAAAGGAACACTCCTTCATCTGAGCTTGTCTTAGCTTTTCCAACGCAACTCCAGAGGAAAGAAAACCATTTCTATCTCTACGATTGACAGCAATCCTCTGCTAGTGTTATAACTCATCTCATCAAGAATGCTGGGTATCTTTCACGAGAAGATCGTTCGAAATCCACACGATTCTTGCACCTTGACACCTCCTGGCCTCATCTGTCATTTCTCCTCCTTCCTAACTTCCGACCTCTCTTCTGAAGCCGTCGTGTAACAGTGAAGTAGGAGCACAACCATGAGGCACTATCCTTTCTGGGATTCTACCTCTTTCACCGACACGTTTTCGTCCCTTCAATGACTTGCTGATGGTGCTGTGACTTCCCTCTCTCTTGCTGATGGTGCTGTGACTTCCCTCTCTTCCCTCTTTTTACTTGACCTGTCCTCGTTTCCCTCGACTCGTCCCCGACATACTTTTCTCATCTCTCCCCTCCCCTTCCTCTGTCCTGCGTTGCTCATCTTTCCACCCTCCGAGCTTTCCATGCTCCCACTTGCTCTCTTCTCCTCATCCTCCTTGTCACTTCTGTTTCTCTTCCCTCGCTTCTCTCTCTTCACCCTTGCTACTTCTCCATCCTCGATTTCTGCATCGAATCATCGGATGTGAAGGGTCGTCCACCCCCACCCCCTACCCTCGAAGTTCCCTCCACTCTATACCTCTGAAATGGATCAGACGCCAGTACCCCGTCAATGTCCCTCACCCACCCACCATTTCACCCTCACCCACCCTACCGGCTAATCGCTACCGCATCTCGGAGAAGTACCCGGGTCAGTCAGGCCCATGATAGGGCCGGGGCCGGGCCCGACTCGAGAGTTACGGTAGTAGCCTTCCGCGACTCCGGCGAGGCCCTGACTCACGGTGAGGCCGGGCGGCCGGCGGCGGCCGGCCTGAGTCACCCCGGCGACTCGGCGACTCACTCATTGAGTCATCATCGGCGCCTTGCCAGGCTCACTTACTGAGTCATCGCCCTGACTCACTCACTGAGCCATCATCGGGGTACAGTCGGCGCCCTCGTTCAAGTACTCACCGTGGCTGAGTCCGGGCCAACGAATTTGAGAAGAAATGGATTTGTTCGCGCGGCGATGTCGGCAGTGGCACGATGGACGCCATGGCGTGACTGAGTGAGGTCGGAGCCACATCCGATCTCTGGTCACCCGGTGGTTCATCAACCCTAAGGTGCCACGGTCTGTCGGCCCTTTCCCTTGCCCTGGCACTGTGCCGGTGTGTGTCCGTACCGTACGGTATGGTACAACACATATCTGAGCACGCAGTACGGTGACGGGCGGCAGCGATCAGGATGTACTGGGCAGGCTTGTCGGGCCGCGGCCGGAAGTTTTCGGGCGCTGCCCGCCGGGCCCGGGCTGCCCGGCCAGGGCCTTGTCCGATCCGATCGGGATCAGGATGATCGGGATCCGCCCGGCAGGCTAGCAGTGCGGCCTGGATGCGTCAGTGAAATGGTATCGAACGTCACCATCCCCACTGGTCATGATGGACCCCTGGATTTCAAATATGCCTACCCCTACACCGGTGTTTTTAGTAGGAAAAGTTCTTGTCCAAATATAGGTAGGTATCCACCCCACCCTGTTCATATTCAATTTTCAATGACCCCTACCCCCAGGACTCTCTAGTATCCGCAAGCGAAATGCTGCGTGTAATATTATGAGTGGGGATTGCGACGAGGAGGTGGAGGGGAGTGAGATTGTAGCTGTGAGGTAGGAGAGACATGCTTGAAACTTGTGCAGATGATACAGGATACTGGAGACAGAGGTATAGATATCCAGAGATGGAGCGAAGTCAGGCTGAAAGTAGGATAGAGTGATCTAGACAGCGATGTGAAGGCGGCATCAGGATGGTTATGATTATGAGACGTGGATTAAGAGGGGGAAAGGATTCAAGGGATAAAGATACCATAGGATCGTGACAGATATGGAGAGGAAGGAAAAACAGGTTTAACTCCAGACAAGCATGGATAATACCCGAGATTCGGTTTTCGCATTGTTTCATTTCATTCCCTTGACTCCCTGGTAACCGTCCATTGTTCGGCACAGGTCTGTGGAATCAAAGATTAGAGTCATAGGATCGCGAGGAAAGTTCCGATCCAGCGATGAGGAAGTTTTCTGTTGGGTTGGACTTGGGGTCGCAGCAGATTGCCCTGGCTGTGTTCGATCATGAGAGGCAGTGCTCAGTACCTCTTGAGATCAGCGGGGACAAGACGATGCCCACCTGCATCTCGTTCGAGGGTGACAACACCATCGTGGGGAAGAGAGCCGAGAGCCGTTCTGCACGCAAGTGTGAAGGGGTTCTGTGTGCGTACAGGCAGATGCTGTATGGGATGCGGCAGGAGTGGAGGATGCATAGGGAGATGTGCCGACAGCGATGGCACTTTGGGGTCTCTATGGACGAGGCTGATGGATCTCAGGACAAGGCGTCTGAGAGCGAGCACAGTGACAGCTGCTACGTCGTTCAGGGGGAAGTTGTGAAGATTGAGGAGGTCATTCGGAAGGTGAGAGCTAGTGTGTCCTCAGGTTGTGCATGCTGTTGAAGCGCTGAGCTCTGTCTCAGATCATTGAAGTTGTTTGCACCACTCTCATCGATGCGATCCGGAGTGGAGGAGCGCTGGAAGTGAACGATGGGCAAATCCCAAGTTTCATCAACTTTGCTTGTTCTGTTCCTGAATGTCTGAGGTACGACAGACGGAAGATTGCGTGCCATCCTGCCTCCTTTTCCTTTTTCCTATTCCCTCCTCCTCCTCCCCTTCCTCCTCCTCCTCCTCCTCCTCCTCCTCCTCCTCCTCCTCCCTTGACTGTGTCAAGAACTATGTTCATGCTCTTGATGCTATCCTGCAGTGAAGAACAAAGGGGCGTGATATCAGCTGGAATCAAGGAGGCACTGGAGGAGGGGCTCGGGCCAAACATTCCGCTCCTCCTAGTCAACGAGACCCTTGCCATCGCCATGCAGGTACTTGAGAAAGTTTGAGTTCGACTGTGAGTAAGACGTGTCGGGAAGTACTCCTCAATCCCTCCCATCATCCCCAAGACATTTATGTGCATCGACCTCGGAGCGTCCAAACTGACTGTCTCCATATTCGAGCTGAAGAAGAAGGATGTCGACTCCTTCTGCTTGCAAGAGGTGCTAGGGAGGAGGGGGTGAAGGGAGCTCGGGGCTGGTTGGAGGTGATGTGGAACTGATGGAGAGGCAGGTGATGTCGAGGACAAACGTGTTCGTGAGCGGCAGCGAGATCGAGTACAAGCTGATGCAGTGGTGCGAGAAGCATAAACCCTTCGCTGAAAGCGTGCTGGGCTCCTCCTCCTCCCGCTTCAAGCTGCGGCGAGACGTGCGGGGAGCCATGAAGACGCTTACGGTGGCGGAAGAGGCGATGATTGAGACAGACAACTTGGCTGGAGGAAACGATCTGCAAGTGATGCTGACGCTAGAGGACTTCGAGCATGAGTGCAAGGACATCTTCGACTCGGTCCTCCTCCTCCTGGAGTTCGTCGCCAAGGAGAGCAACGTTGGATACCCTCAGGAGGTGACACAGACGCTGCGAGTGCGACGGGGCTGATGAAGATGTGCAGGTCATCCTGACAGGAGGAGCGATGCGCATCCCGTGCCTTCAGAGGAGAATCCAGCAGCTGCTGTCCCCGCACGGGTCGAGCATCAGGAAGACGGTGGACATGGACAGAGGAATCTCCCTTGGTGAGTTTGCAATCTTGAGGTGCAGAAGATGAGGATGAGGAGAGAGAGAGAGAGACGCGATGGAGGAACACGGAGATGGAAGTAGGAGGAGGGGAGACAGGAGATGGAGGATTGAATGCAGTGAAGGAGGACGAGAGGAGGAGGATGGAGGGGGAGGAGGAGAGGCAGGAGGAGCAGGACTGCTTGTTCGACTCTTTGACCACTCGAATACAGGCGCTGCGATGATCGCGGCCATCAAGCACGACCCGTCAGTGGTGAGGAGGAAGAGATGAACCGCTGCTGGTGTGACTAGGAGGGTGAAGGTGAAGATGCCGCTCGACCCGACGTCGCCGTTCGAGGAGAACTCTTCGAGACAGATCCTGAGGTGATGCAGGGAGAGAGGATGAGACAAGGGGCGGGATGAGAGAGATAGGAGCAAGAAGGGTTGGGTGTGTGGGGGCGGTCAGAGTAGAGCAGAGGGATGCAAAGAAGACGAGCATCGCAGTATGAGAGTCGGAAGGGGCGGAGGAGGACGGTGTGGGAAAGTGGGAGGAAAAAGAGGGAGGAGAGGAGAAGGGGAGGGGAGACGGGGGATGTAGTCTCTCTATCGTCATCCTGATTTCAACGGCTCCTGCAGGGTCACCAAGGACGGACGTCTATCCCACGTCGCTCCCAGGGTGGAGAAAGGTGAAGGGAGAGCCTCGAGGAGCAGCCGAGCTGACTCAGACCAGTAGGAAGAGACGTGGAGGAGTTCAACGCCAAGATCGAAGACATTCAAGTCAGCTTTGCTCCACCTCTCCCTCCCCTCTCCCCGCGTTCCTTTCCCTCAATTTCCCGAACGCTAATCGTTCCCGTCTCCGCTCCTCTTCATCTTTCACTTGCTCTTCTTGTTCCTCGTTCCCCCTTGTCTTTGACTGCCTACCTCACTCAAACACAGTCCAAATATGATGCTGCCATGCGTCGCCTGCAAGTTTCCTCGGACTCGGAAGAGAAGATGAAAGATCAGATCTTCGAGCAGCAGAAGCTGATTGAAACTCTGAGATCCAAGGCACTTCCTTCTCACTCCTTCCACCCTCCTCCCCCCTCCTCCGCCCTCCTCCCCCCCCCTCCACCCTCCTCCGCCCTCCTCCCTCTCCTGTTGTTTCCTCCCGTCTCTCGCTAAGTTTGGTCTGCTTTATGCTCTATTTCCCTGATACTCCTACAGGTGAAGGAGCTGGAGGGTCAAGTCTCTGACAAGTCGGCTGGAGTTCCTTCCCCTGTCGCCCAGCCCACCAGCCCTGGTACCACCAGCCTTCTCCTCTCCTCTCCTCTCCTCTCCTCTCCTCTCCTCTCCTCTCCTCTCCTCTCCTCTCCTCTCGTCTCCTCTCCTCTCCTCTCCTCTCCTCTCCTCTCCTCTCCTCTCCTCTCGTCTCCTCTCCTCTCTTCTCCTCTCGTCTCGTCTCCTCTCCTCTCGTCTCGTCTCCTCTCGTCTCCTCTCCTCTCCTCTCCTCTCGTCTCCTCTCCTCTCCTCTCGGCTACCTCCTCTCCTCTCCTCTCCTCCTCTTAGCGCAAGCTCTCTAGTCTCCTCCACTGTTCTCTCCTCACCGATGTATTCCCGATCCCACTTTCTTCTCTATCTCTTTTGCTCTCCATCTTCCCGGCTCATCCTCCTCCAAGGCTCTGAGTTCGCCATCGCGCGAGCCAACGCGCTTGAAAGTGAATCTTCGCGTCTCCGGGAGCAAGTCGACGTCTTGCGCTCCCGCCTCTCCGCGGCTGAGGGGCAGTGCCGCATCCTCTCCCAGAAGCAACACGTCTCGCTCTCCTCCTCCTCCTCCTCCTCTGACTTGCTGCGTCAGAGCGCGGAACTCGCCGTCAAGGAGGCGCAAGCAACCAAGGTGGCAGCACCGGAGAGGAAGGGGAGAGCAACTGACGAAGAGGCAGGAGGAAGCGATGAAGAAGGTCTCGGACATGGAGGAGACGATGAGGAGGATGCGGGAGGAGGTGGAGGAGGCGAAGAAAGAGAAGATGCGGATTGAAGATCAGCTCTACGATTCTCTCGGCGCTCACACAGAAGTAGACAAGCAGGTGCTTGCAGCGGCAAGGGAGAGGAGGAGGAAGAGAGCGAGAAGGGAAGATAAGACAGGGACAGAGCGAGAGAGAGGAGGGAGGAGGAATAGTGAGGGAGGGAATAGGCGCAGGGGAGAGAGGGCAGGGGGAAGGAGGAATAGGGAGGGGAGAAGGGATGGAGCAGAAGTGAGCAGGAGGAGGACTGAGGGATCACGAACTGACGATGAAGGACAGGTGAAGGTGTTGACTAGTCGGCTCAAGGAGGCTGAGAATGTGAGAGTCCCTCTCAACCCCGTTCAATCAATTCCCTGCTCCCCGCCCTCCTCGCCTGCATCTCATCCTCCTCCCTTCACTCCCTCCCTCCCTCCCTCTCCTCCTCTATCCTCCCTCCCTCCTTTCTTTGTGGATTCTCACTGATTCTTCCTACTGCAGAATTTGTCAAAATCGCAAAAGTCCTTGAGCTCAGAATCTCAAAGGTTTCGTCTTCACCATCGAAACACCCTCTCCTCTTTCCACTCCACTCCACCCTAAACCTCTCCTCTCCTCTCTCCTCTCTCCTCTCCTCTCCTCTCCTCTCCTCTCCTCTCCTCTCCTCTCCTCTCCTCTTTCTGATCTCTTTACCTCAGGCATGCTGTTGTTGAAGAGAAATTGCAGTCTGATCTAGAAGTTGCTCAGAAGAGGATCAAGGTGTGATATCGCATGTTTCTC